GCACAACGACAACCACGGCGGTATTGACGGGCACTGTTACCACTAATACTGCTATACCGACGACGACCACCGCCACAACAACAAATCCGACTGCAGTGATGCATCGAAATTCGCTGCTGAACGCGGCAGCAGCTTCAGTGGCTGCTGCATTCGCCAATGGTTCGTTTCCCGGTTTGGCCCCACTGACCGCATCAACCGGGCCCATGGTCTGTTCGAGTATTGGCACCAGTACGAACACAATGGTTCCACACGATGCATCTCCGTCGTCCAGTTCTGGTCTGGGAGTCAGTGTGACCAGTCCGCTAGAAACGCCGACCACCGGTGGATCACCGAACCAAATGGGAGATTTGGGACGGTGTGTCACCAGTCCGACTGTTCCACCACCGACATCATCATCCGCTTCCTCCTCATCCTCGACAACATCATCCTGGTTGTTGGGTATGCATGGAAAATCGATAAACAAAGATTCGGTGAATGGATCTATGTCACAATCTGCCCTGGTAATGAGTGGAATTAAAGAGGCACATGCTTCCGATGGTACAACAATGTCAAGCGTTGCCGGAGATATCCATTCTTCTCTGGCACTTTCACATCTGCATCGCGTTGGTAGCAACAACAACAGCAGCAGCAGCAGCAACAACAACAGTAACTCAAAGCCAAACCTTAATGGTCCAATAACCACCCAGGTGGATTCGTCCCACATGGAACTGCAATCGAAGCTGCTTGCTCTGGGTTTGCCATTTCCTAACCCAAGTACGAATTTGTCAAATTCTGGAGTAGTTCCCGGCCCGAATGATCTGGCCACAACGTTTGGTAATTTTATGAACTTTATCCCACCATTTAATGGCTCAGCTGCTCCAGGAAGTTATCCGATGGTTGACCAGTTCAGCATGCAACAACAGCAACAGCAGCAGCAGCAACAACAGCAACAGCAACAACAACAACAGCAGCAACAGCAACAGCAGACCTGGTTGGCAGCTAACGCCTGGCTAGCTAGTCTCGCGAACGGGAAGCTTTTAAGTCCACCTGGTGGCCCGTTTGATTCAGACCAGTCAGCACAGATGGCTAATTTGTTTAACCACACCAACAGCAGCAGCAACAATCCCGGTCTGCCTTCTTGCGCAACAGGAAAACTATTTGGTACAGATTTTGATCGCTTCGGCTCCGGATTCTCTTCTTCGTTCATGCTAGGCTCATGCATGGATCAGTCCGAGGCGAATGGACATAAGGTTCCTGCCAATCTCGGTGGTGCGTGGCCTGTGTGCAATAGTTCCACTATATCCAGCCCATCCGCATCTATTCCGCCCACCGTTTCATTTCCATCGACTGCAGATCTCCTGGTGAATAAACCACCCAACCAGAACTATTCAAATGAACGTTGTCTCCCCGGGACTTTCCAAAATCTGGTGACATTTGCCAATACCATAACTGATGTGATCCACGACGATTCACGACTCCAGTCGGCCGGTTCACTGGATCTCTCACAGACAGCTCACCGAACTGATTCGGAAAGCAGCGATCAAGTTTTACTTAATCGGGCCGAAGAGTCGCATTCCCAATCGGCTTTATCGACCACAAACACAGCGGTAACAGCGTCCACAAAACGAAAACGAGCCCGGCCAATATACATCTCCCCCGAGTTTGAGCCGGTAAGAGATGGTCATGACATGTGCTGTTGTTTTTTCATCGCTCCTTACTGTTCGGTTCTGTTTTTATCGATTCATGTATCTAATCACAATGGTAGTTCGATTTGGATCTGAAAAAAGAAAAGAAAAGAAAATATGATCTTTATCTTTCTCTCGGGTTCTCACTCGTTCATCATATTTCTATGGCTAGATAATATGTGCACTTGTCTTGAACCATGCTGATCAACTCTTCACTTTCGATACTTCATTTGAACCGGTTAACCCTTCGATAAGATCATCTACTTCAACCAACCAGCCGCGCGCAAACACACTCACAACTCAAGCTTTGTGCTGATGACGCACGCGCGACGCATATACAGTCGATGCATGCATGTGTTCTGTTCAAGGTCGACTACGGAACAGATGCAAAAAGTAAAAGCTATGCGGGGTCATAATCGAATTTGACGATTTAGTTCAGTCCAAATTGGTCTGCAACTTTTTGAATAAGTATGGTCACAATTTCGCATCTGCCGGTTGAGTGTGTGTGCACACGCGTGCGAACACGCGCAGCAACCAACAGATACGATTTCATACGGTCCGAAGATTGCGTTCTCGAACTGTCTTGGCGCAAAAGTAAGCGGACCGACGTCGGATCCAGTGTCAAAACTTCACTTTAAGTTCGCTTCAAACAAAGTTCATAAAAGCAGAGACCCTTGAAACATAGTTTGTCTTAAACAAAGTAATCAGCTGCGTTATTACCATTGATAGTGTTGACAACTATTTTGGTCTATGGAGAAATGCTACTCTACAGTTCAATAGAAAGATATTTCTTCTCACAATTCTATCAATAGAAAATGCCTCTAAATCATACTTTCCCACCGACAGAAACGTCGTTTGGTCGAATCATCTATCGACGAACCCGGACCAGTGAATCTTTCCTCACCAAGTCGCTCCGTTTCACCGACCGGCGAGAGCTCCAACGCAACCCACAACTCCGCGCAATTGGAACGACCGGTTTGTGAGACTGGATCCAAGAGGAAGCGAGAAGCGCTTGGACGTTCGGAATTGTTGCAACATTTGACTTACTATTTGGTGAAAGATTTGCAACCACCGGAAGTGTTGGAAGGTGAAGGGTTTCGGGTATGTGAAGTCAAGACTTTTGTTTTAACACATCGTTTAAATTTGCTGGGTCATGCTTGCCCGTTGGAAATCTAGAAAATCGCTCTCTTTATTTCGTCCTTGTGCATGGTATGGGAATGAGAATGGGCTCGATTAATCCAGTTCACGTATCACTACACTTCACGGGATGGGAGTCAATAAACGATTACCGTTAATGAAGGATTCTTCCGTCCAATGCGCCTGTTTGTCTGTTTTGTAAGTTACGCAAACACACACACAGGCATACAATCCGGACTAGGGAGAGCACCATTCATTTACGCACGATACCAAGGGCGGCGGTGGTCGATTGATAAGGTCGTCGAAATAATCACCTGGGTGTTCGAACCCGTCACGGCCATGATCCTATTCCTGAAAGTTCATTGTACATTTCTATAATCAAAAAACAATGAAGGAAGTAAAAATAATGTATTTATTATTATTATTATTGTCTTGCTTTTCAGTAAGGAAACAAATGTTCGCAAATTAAATGACTTGTCAATCAAACCTCACTCGTTTATAGTACTGACTCACTTGTTTTCTTTGTACGAGGTTACGTAGATCATTTTCATGAGTCTGCTATCACGTGTGGTTTGTTTATCTGACGGAACCAATGATTAGCTGAGCATACATTCGTGTTGCGGTTTTTGTGATTAGCTTGGTGATTCCTAAGCATTATTAGACAAAACAAAACGACTTCACTCCAATTGCTCATTCGGAAATGAGAGACTCGAAGCCGTTCAACCATATGCAACTTCGTAAAACAATTTTCCCTTCTAACCTCATCAGTAGTACTGGTGAGAGAATAGTAACAAACGCGAATAGTACACACTCGTCACTATTCACGGAGGGTGATAGTTACCACTCCAGAGGTTCTCCGCTGCCCCGCCATTAACCTTATCCTTCTCATCAGTACCATGGCATTGCACCCTACAATCTGTGTCGACTCCCGCTCCCTCATTGAGTACAGTCGACCCATGGCAATGACTGTCATCACAGCATAAATCTTACAACAACATTCACGTCAACACAGACAACAACGAAAGTGAGCGTATGAACTGTCCCCGCCTCACTCGTCAGCAAGCGTCACATGCTTGCACTGCTTTCTTCTCTCTCTCTCTGTATTTTTCGATTAGTTCTGTCCAAACATCCACCCGCATGCACCGACAACGTCTTTGCACGTGTGTGTGTGTGTATGTATGTATGTATATATATATATATCTCAGTGAAACATGGCCATAGCGACCGAAACATGCTCTTTACGTACTCTTTCCTCGCTCGCGCACGCATGTTGCCGCACCTGCTGTTGTTATTGTCGTTGTCGTCCTCATAGGACCGTAGTAGTAGTAGTATTCATTTTACCTTTCATGTGTGACGCATTTCTTCGTCTGTTCGTTTTCTCTTTCCTTCTGTCTGTCTGCCACACACACACACACACGTGCACGTTTACTCGTGGGCTCGTGAGTTCGCTGGCTCGCTCGCTCGTTTATTCACTTGCCCTGCTGCTATATGCGTTCCTTGGTCGGAACGTTCGATCCATATCCAGTGATAGCAGGTAACACGGCAACACGACCAGCTTCTCAGACCTGGGATGCGCACATGCTGGCCTTGGCCCTGTTCGTTCTTGCTCGTGCTCTGAGCCCGACTGGAGCATATCTATCAACGCGTCTAATCATCTGATCATGCGTGTTGGTCAGTATGCATATGCTGCTGCTGCAGTGCTGCCGGTGTTGTTAATTCGGTGTGTATATGTGTGTGTATATGTGTGTGCTCATACGGGAGCGAGGCCGACAGCACTTTAAATGGAGCCTGTTTCGAGTACAGAACATCACAGTCGAATGCGCCACACGGGGTTACCGAGTTCATTTGGATTTATCGCACTGATAGGTAGACTAACACACACGTGCGCACACATTACTGTACACGAATACGCGCATGCACTTGCACTGATGCTGTCGAACACCGAAGAAGAAGAATCAGCTCCGTACATGCGGGTCTGTGCGATTTGCACAGACACACACACGGGACGACAGTTCACTTGATTCGGTGCTCCGCGTACAGTGCCGGTTCGGACGTGTTCCTCGGTTTTCACTGACTGAGAAGGATAGATTAACATGACGAGAATTCTCACTTCCCTCGCCCCCTATCCTTGTTTTTTACAACCCAACTATTTACTATTCACATTTTAATGCCTTTCACTTTGGTTCGTACCCTTTCTGTCTATCCACCGCTCTGCTCAGTTATGTTTACCTTGGTCAAATGCCATGTGTGCTGATCTTCCGACCGGTGCGACTGTTGTATGCATCCAAGCATTTGAATTCACCTCGTAGGAAGGCGTAAAAACTCAGCTGGAAATGGGAGAGTAACAAGCCGTATTTTGGGGTTTTCTACTATCTCATCCAACCGGCATGCACTACTGATGAGCTCCGAAGGAGAGGGCGAAACACAAACCTGTGAGGCTTCTCGAGTGTGTCGTTGACTGAATGATCTGAGGGTTATACATGAAGGTGAAAGCAATCAAAATCAGCTTGTATTTATGCCTATTTCCTAAGGTGCCCGAAAAATTGATTCGACACCAAACAAGAACTGTTTCTTCCTGACCACTAAGCTCAATGAACAGGGCAGATAGATTTGCGTGGCTGACATTGACTGGCACCACACACCACAATGTGACTGAACTGATACGCGATCGGATGACCTGGGTCGTCGATACAACAGACACCTGGGTTCGAAACCGTACCACAGGTGGCTCACGTTGAAAANNNACAGACAACTTGGAATCTCCTAACTCAAGAGTTATCTTTCTAACAAGAATAATAGCTTCCATTCTTTTCCTTCAAGTTTTAGCATGTACCGTTAATAAAAGCTTATCATTTTGTCAAGTTATTAAATTGTGAAATAAAATCCATTCATTCCAATCAAACTGCCCCACTTTTGTACTTCACAGAATTTACTCAAAGTGATAGGCGATTATGATGTGCCTAGCGCGTGTGAAATTCGTGATCACGTGCTACCTGATCTGCTCAACTCGGTCCAATTGAAAGCTTCTTGTGAATGGAAGGAATTTACCTACCAGGCAACAACAACAACAGAGGTTACCCAGTCCGATCGACCGGGATCGCAACACGTTGCAGTCGCTTGTGCAGTCGAACTGTGGCCTCCCTGTTCCGTGATGAGTCTGACCCAGCCCGATGGTGTCACGTGTCACGCGAATTTGGAGCTGCATTGTGCCGCGTCCCGGGCGAAGAGGAAATTTCACAGTCGTGTGTTACGCACAATCAAGGTAGGTACCATGTGATTGCATCATTGTGCATGAGATTGGAAGCGATTCAGTTTATCTGCTCAATGAAGTAGTTGCTTAGTGCTGAGTTATTTTTTTAATAATGCAACGCGCAGTCAGGCTACAATTCTTCCTGGTTCTGATTCTCTTACTTACCTATATAAATCAATGAAATGAATGATTAAACGCTTTTTTTCTCTTAGCTGAGAGCTTTGTGTCGGTGTCGCGTTGGCGGTGGTGGTACACGTTGATCCACTACCTCTACAGTCCAGTCTGGTAGCCATTAGCTTTTTAGTGTCACTCAACGGCTCATTACCACGCCCATTCTATGGAATCCGGTTAGTATCGACATTGCAGTTGATTCCCCACAGGGTTTTAAAAAAAGTTACTGAGTGAGACCCCGGTCACTGTGCGACTGATAATCGTGCCAAGTCGTTTGCCGAAAATAGCGGAAAAGAATCTGAAGGATGACGAACTAGTTCAGAATATCACTCTACGCTTTATTTTGCCGCATATTGTATAAAATTTGAGCAGTTAATAATTTCTCATAGTCCGGAATAACAGTGTTTTTTTCACCGATGTGCACATTACGCCCTTGCCAATTTTTGTCACAGGCTAACAAACAAAATGCTCACTTCCAGAAGTGGTGCTGGGCCTATCCGGTCGCTAGTGCTGCTTTGTAAAAACACCACGTGGTTGAGATCGATGTCTAAAGGACCATCAAAATCATGCATGAAGAGAAGAAAACACTAGGGGGGGGGGCAGGGGGCCGAAAACGATCAACGTCCATCTTTTCAATACTATTGTGGTTTATTAGCTTGTTTGATTACCAATATCAGAAGAGAAAGTTTTCTAAATATTTATTTGTAACATACATTATGTGTGCCATGAACAACAGGTGGAAGAAACCTAATTGACACGAGGACCTGCTGTTCAACCATAAAAACCAACAACCTAAGTCCCGGGACTTGTAGTGGCGGGCCACATAACAACCCTTTAGATTAGGCATGCTGTTGAGCCGGATGACAGCAAAGCTGCCTACCACCAAATTTGGGTGATAGTGGTGGGGTTTGA